GCTCACCCCATGAGGGGAGGCAGTGCTGTCGGTTTGAGAGAAGGGAAAGCATTTATTTAGTACTGGTGAACATCTTTTGTGTCTGTCAGGGCTTCGGGGCCTTCCTTAATCTCTTAGTATTTTGGAGCCAAAGCTCCAAGATGGCACACTTCTCTAAGCAAAGCAACGTCATCATCAACAACACATGGATCCATGATTTTGCTGGAGAAGGAGCACTAATAACTTCCCTTTCCCCCACCCCTCCCTAGCACATGTCGATAAACCTAGGTTTGGCTAAGTAGTGATGAACCCGGAGGGCATCAGAAGGGCCCCCCAGCCGGGCTCTGCATGGGCAAGTCTCTTGGCCTCTCTGTGCTTCAGTTCCATGGTTTCATCTGCTCATTCATTCATGCACACAACAAATATTCGTTAAGTACCTACCGTGTGCCCGGCATTGTGTCTGCTTCTGAGGCTACAGTGGCAAGCAGGACAGACAGGGTCCCAGCCTTTGGGGTCCTGTCCTGTGGCCCCATGCAAATTGATGGAGTTATATTTGGTGACAGCTAAGGTCCATTTTAGCTCCTGAACAACGAACCCTGTGGTTCTATGTCAAAGTAGCAAGTAGAAGTGGTACTTTAAAAGTCTATTGTCCTAATCCTTTATGGAAGGAGAAGGTGGGCTCAGTGTGAGCCTCCCCAACCTCCCTTCTTTGCTCTGCTGTGAGATGAAACCCCACTCACCCTGCGTCTCAAGGGTGTGCTGTTGCCTGGATCGTCCACCTCGATGGCATCCCCATACCTTCCTCACAGACTGGACATGGACTTTTCTCATGCACATGGACTCTCTGCGGAGGGCCCACTTATCCTGAATCCAAGATCCTGGGTGAAGATGAGCCCTTTTCAGGAGTCGAGGCCAAAGGACACATTTCTTCCCCAGCCACGGTCGTCAACCTCTGAGGTCTCCTGGTGATGTAAGAACCTCGCGTCCAGTGGCTTCTCTCTGGCCCTAGACTTCCTGGGTTGGTTCTGGTTGCAAACACAGGGCCTTGTGGCCTTGTCTGATGCTAAGTGTCAGCAGTGAGCTTGGAAAGTGTGGTCACTAAATGATGCACCTCTGGGACCCCTTCCAGGTGAACACTGGGATACGTCTGGGGGGTTGTTTGCTCACTACATCCCTTTCTTAATGT